GTATAAAAGCCTATTCTGTGGGCAAGAAATTTAGTCAGGCCTTAAGATAAAAAGATCTTTCGACTTAACTGACTTTAAGTTACCAAGATCTTTTTGTATGTCCCCGACCGCATAACTTTTTGCTGGCTACTGGAAAAAAAAGGCAAGAGCTGACGCAGGACCACCATCCAGCCTGCCAGAAGTATTAACTATGACGAATTAAAAGTCTTTGGATGGTGACACTCATTCATATTTTGCTTACTTTTATTGGGATTGCACATGAAGTGGAACCATTGACGTACTGTACATGCTGCATATGCGCTTCAGCACGAAGACCTTTTGTGGTTGGATCGTCAGCCCTGCAGTGCGCCTAATACGCCGGTGCGGCTTATACACTGACTTTAAATCTTAATTTGCCGATTTTTCCATGCTGTGGATTATACACCCGGGCAGCTTATATTCTGAAAATTAAGGTACTTGTATAATTCTTTTGCATAAAACAAAAAATGAGTTTTAAATTATCATACGACAATGCGCTGTCTTGAATCAAATCGTATGACAGCTATCAGTTTGAATACCTTGTTAGGCATCATGAGGACCGAGTCGCCCTTTCTGATCTTTCCACCTTCAATTTTGCCAAGCAAAATGGTTCCCATATCCTGCAATACAAAATAGTAAAAGATCCAATTAAACCCTGACTCTAGGGAAATACTTCGCACTAAAACTGTTTGTGGCATGGGACTGATAATGCCAAATGCAAAAACAAACAATAAAATGACCAATAATAACAACAACACCCCCCAAAAAATTCTGTGTAGACATGTAGATAGTCTTTTATACAAACACGGTTCTACACTCTGAAAGCAATTAGCATCAGGGGGTTGAAAGAATGTGGAGAGAGAATGACCTTTCTTAATTTTTTTCATCTGAGGGGTATCATGTAGCCCTTGAACGTTGACAACAAATTCATGCCCTTATCTTGTGATTGATCAGTCCTTGACTATACCTTGAATCGGTCTGTGATAGGCATCCGCAACGGTCCGTCTTGCTTCCTACCCAGTGAGGGTAAGCTGTCAATGTAGGGAATGAACGCTGGTCCACTACACAGACACACACGCAAAAGAAACAATTTCTTCATGGTTAACATCGTGACACAAACAGTCACAAGCAAGATAGCCACAGCGGAGAGCAGATCCCATTATGATTAAAACTTGGATACGGAAACAGTAGGCCATCTGGTTGGTAAACAGTCTTGAAAAACAATCATATACATTGCAATGTCAATAAATGTACATATATCAAAACTACTCTATTATTTTATTGGTGTGTTATTACTAGCCTCGCTCTAAACTTAAGATGCTTCTCATTAAAAACAAAACAAATTTCAAACAATTTCAAAAGAGTCAGTAGGAAAGGGTTTACATGTATTTATGGGATGAAAGCAGGGTTCCCACAAAAATCTGGAAAACCAAATTCTGCAAATTTTAAAGTACTTTCCACACTAAAATATGACAATTTCCATGACCATGATGCTATTTTGCTGAAAAAAGTTGTTTGGTACAATGAACTGGAAGGCTGCCATAGTCACTAGTACACTGACAAGGATATAGCCTGTCAATTTATTCTGTGTTCACATCAAAAGCAGTCTATGACCCATCCAAAAATAACCCTTGCATGATCTTGATTTCCATGACCTTTCCATGCCTTTTTTATTTTACCTCTGACAACATGGTTCCATGGTATCCCGTATCCCTCCCCATTTTCCATGAATTTCTAGGACAACTCTATTCCAGGATTTCCTATGACCGTGGGAATCCTACGAACGATGCAGAATTAACCCTAAAAACCAAACAAGTAACAATTCATAGCTTCTGCGATCAGTTGAGGGAGCATAATTGCCAAAAAAGGGTCTTGTGTTCCATTTATCAAAAAGTTTTGTGCAAGTCGTGCCTGGGCATATGAACTGACTTGCGAAGGTCTTGTGAAGGAACAAACTGATCCGTTCTAAATCACTGCAATGTACATAAACTTTGAAAAACTGAAATCAATAACAGACAAGCTGCTCTCCACACCAGGGAAGTGCTTGAAATGCTAGTGGTAAGACTTACTTGTACCAGGGACAGACCTCCCTTGCAGGATCCTTGAGGTTAGCTCCCGTGATGCCGGACACAGGGATGAAGAAGATATCTTTCTTGGGGTTGAAGCTGGCCTTCTTCAGGAAGGGGATCAGCTTCGTCTTGCACTCCTCGTACCTACATCAAATTTGGAGATGTTATTTCCTCTTTCGTGTTTTAACTAAGAGATGAAGATCAAGACAGGAAGAATATCTTTGCAATAGTGTTGCGGTTGAGCCCACCTCAAGTTCTTCAGGGGTGATACTGTCCGAGATCAAGTCACAAGCTACTGACTGTGACAGCATTCAACTTGTAAGTAATTCACTTATCACAGACCAATGATTTGAAATGTCTTGAACTTGACAACATCACAACAAAGCAAAGCAGTGATATAGTAACCCAAAAGATTACGACATTCTTTCAAATATTACATACATGTATATACGACTAAAATTATATGACAGAAAAAAAGGGTAATCTTCATTAAGGAGTGAGCAATATTTTAGATGTGCGCCATTTCTTCAAACAAATTCCCAGATTTCCCCTTCCCCCCCCCCCCCGAGGATTCTGGAAGCTCAGGGTTTCTACCTCTCTTCTGACCACTCCACGGTAGGATCATCCATCTTGTTGATGAGGACCACCAAGTGCTTGACCCCCGCTGTCTTGGCCAGCATGGCGTGCTCCCTCGTCTGGCCTCCTCTCTCAAAACCCGTCTCAAATTCCCCCTTCCGTGCTGAGATGACCTGCAGGTGATCGGGGAAAGTGCCACTTTCTCCAATTTCTGTTGTCTTACCACCTCAGCCCATCATCATTCGGTATGTTTTTAGGAGCAAAACACGAAAGAAGTGCTCGACCAAGTACTTATGAAATATTCTTCTTAAAACTTAGATTCTACAAAATTGGGAGAGCCTGTCGTCTTCCACTTATTTTGTAATCTTACTTTTGTACATGTACCAACCATTTTCCATGTTCTCCAACTTTGTTCCCCTCCTAACCACTTCAACATTTGGCAGTATACTTGGTACCTGAAAGCTGCTGGACTACAACACAGTACTCACCAGAACAGCCAGGTCTGCTTGTGCCGCCCCACAGATCATGTTGGGTACGAAGCTCCGATGACCCGGCGCATCCAGGATGGTGAAGTGTTTCTTCCCCGTCTCAAAGTTGGCCCGGCCCACCTCCACCGTCTTCCCCTTCTCCCGTTCCTCAAGGTTTGTGTCCAGTGCCCACGACAGGTACCTGGAATGGCAAGTGCACAGATATCCGGACGTTGTTTGGACAATAGCGGCAGGAACTCTTCCAGTCGGTCCATCTCTAGACAAGACTGACCAAGCTCAACACTACTGGCCGATTCCTTGTCAACCGGAGTGTTCAGTAACTTACACAGTTCAAAGAATATTACTCACCAACTCTCTCTGTTTTTCTCCTTTGCTTCTCTTTCATACTTCTCCAAGGTTCGCTTATCCACTTGACCCGTCAGATACCTACATGTACATGTACCCAAGAAAATTAAGAACAAAGACATTTAAACCCTATCTGAGGTGAGCAATCGGTTTGAATTTGTCAAAATTAAGCTTGGTAAAAAAGAAATTTACAAACTACGTGTGGCTGCATAAATTTGAATCATTTTCACAAGACCAAAAACTCACAAATAATTAAACAAACTGCAGCATTTATGATAACAAGTATGCTTTTCAGTCAAAACGGTGTTCAGAGGTTGCAATTTTTTTCATTTATGAATCAGAAAGTCAATGTCACAGCTTCCAAAATGTCAGTGAAAACCATAACATGCATACTCACATTATGTGACCACCAATGGTAGACTTTCCGGCATCTGAAAGGCAATTTTTTTTCAAACACAATTTTACAACAATTTCCTCGATCCTTCCTACTTTCCAGCATCTTCCAACATATTATTTGCATTTTGGAGTGTAGGATTTCAAAGAACTGGAGCTGTTTGCCAAAAAGTGTGACTGATTTCAAAGGATAACTTGTGTAAAGGTGTTTACCCTGAAGAAGGAGGTAGCTTAGGCATAAGTTTGCCACCTGGGCAAAACATGGCATTACCCGATGCTTGCAAATCTAAATTTTGAAAGTCTCAACAGTAAAAGGACACTTCCAACAAAGAAACAGCACTAGAGTTTATCCCAACTTACCGCTCCCATCTGACAGAACAGGATACATTGTGAAAATCCCGTCCAGTATGTCAGTCAATACAAAATTACTCCTTCGCAGAACAGCTTCCGTAAAAAATTTATGTGCTGAGTAAATATATGCCTGATAAGCAGGGCACCATAAGCAATGGATACACCATAACTTTTTGGATGAGCACATATTTTCTCTGCTTAGCTAAGGTCATGTCCAAAATTACAGGTCATTGACAACGTTTAGTGAACCACTGCACATGCAGAGCCGTCGCTCCAGCTTTGTTAATGCATGTACATGTATGGCAGTACACTGAATAAGTGAATGTAACGCGTCCCGGCGTGAAGGGGTTAAATCCTTTTGTGTGTGTTTGACTTGATACACGCTGACGCGCAAAGCATGTCGGCTAAAATTCTGACCTGTACTGTAGTTTAAAGTTACAGCTAAGCAATTTAGACTCTACCAAAAATTTTCCAACTTGGCAGTTCTCCTAAATTGATCCAAGTTGCCAGATCTTACCGACGTGCCCGATGAAGATGACGTTGACGTGTTCCATCTGAACCTTGCGCTCCTTGATCTCGGTGTCCTGAGTTTTCTTGGTCTTCTTGCTGGATGTTGCCATTGATGACTTGGTGGCGGTGTCTGCTACAGTTGTGGCAGCTGCCCTGGCTCCCGATTCTTCCTCACTGGAAGGACTGCTGTCTGGAAGGAAAAACAAACAAACACAGTCTGTGATTTGGGAAAGGAGGGATAAGCAACACACCTCCGGGTTCGCCAGTGCTGCAGTCGAGTCCATCACAAGTCCTTTTACGAGTCCAGTCTCCCGTTATTTCACACAACCAGCCATAAGAAAATGGAGTGCACAATGACAAAGGTATGCGTTTGTCACAGTCCATTTGAATAGCCTGTGGCTTGGCTCAAGACTGAATGACCTGTGACCATGATAGTTGTGCAGGGTTTTCTGATGGGCTCGACTTCAATGCTTATCTCCATTAGGTGCACTGCAGAGTGTAACACAGGAGGCACAAAAATTCCAAACCACACACACGGAACAAAAGTGCCAAGAGAATAAAGAAATGTCGACCTCGGAACCAAGAAGATGACTTACTTATTTCTTCCTCCTCATTCTCTTCCCTTCCATCCAGGTCAGGGGGCGCCGGCTCTTTGGCATCAGGCACAGGTTGCTGGGGTGTGGCCTCATCTTCGGCTTCTGAAGACAAGGGAGAATTGAAATCAAACGCTTCAGTTTTCACGCTGAAGCAATGAAACTATCGAGGTCAAATCTGACCATTTCAACTCTGCATTCAACCCTGCAGGTAGTTACACTTTGCACAATCCTGCTTCAGCAAGACTTAACAAGATTACATGTAAATACTGAGATTAATGTGGTAATCCTCAATCGACTTGACCCAGTCATGCTCACACAACAGTCTTCACCCAAAAGCCAACACTGAAATATATATGGTACAGTATCTCAGCCCTGCTCCACACTAGAAGTGAGCGAAACCCACCAATTTACAGGCACGAACCCAGGTCAGAACTGCATAAATGCATCACAGTATTGGACCTGCATTCAGAATGCATGCCGAGTTGGACTTAAACACAGATCACATATTCCACTACATGCCACAAGTCACAAGTCTTGTAGTGGGTACAACACATACCTGCGATGCCCGAGTCTTGAGCTGGTGAGGCCTGGCCTGATGGCTCATCTTTAAAAACAAAGAGTCAACAAAAAGTTGTCACAAAAATATGTTGTTTACTCAAATAAATTTTACATGTATGCATATCTATAATCTGACTCTGATCTGCAAGCAAACAGCTCATTCTTTAAATTTGTAACATTATCTGGATGATATTCTTGATTCAATCAAAATGAATCAAGGATTAGTGTTTCATACGTGAATATCTGAGTCAAACCATTCAATTATCTTTTTTTGTGCTTCAGAAAACTGGCCGGAAAAAGCCACACTTGAGCCAAATACAAATGACAGTTGGGCTGCTGGCCTAGTTTTCCTAATCGAGAACAAATCTCACCGAAACACTTTTAGACATGTGACAGAAAGTTTGTATCATTCTCTCTCTGTGAATGGTTTCTAATTGATTCCACTTTTCCCTTGCATCCTCATCAATCACATCACATAAATGGCCAACTCCATCTTCTACTGGCTTTCTGTTTCCCGGTGGCTACGCGTCCAACCTCAGTTCCCTGACAGGGCATAACTGGCAGTGATACCAGCAGAGCCCATGTGGCAGATCTTGATGCCATTTGAAAAATCAATGCTTCAGAATCATGTACATGTATCTTTTCAATGTTTACAAGGCATTATGGGGCTTAGAGGATAAACAAACCATGCATTACAAGCATAAACCCATGGGGGTAGCGAACCAGTCAGAAATCAAATTATAATTTTGTTCTGAACATTTCTTTTAAGTATCTGCAGTACCTGAGTGATCATGGTCAATGGGGATAAATGAGCTGCAAGTTGTCATTCTGATTGGCAAATACTAGCTCATTAACCCTCTTAAGGTTTAACAGCACAAATATGCATGAATGCCCAGAGTAACTCATGTCCTTGTGTTTTCTACATGAACACAAGTATGCACAGCTTTAATTTGCATACAGTTGATTGCCAGCACAAGATGACACAGGCCCTTTTGTGCAGTCCTCCTCACTGCAGGTGGTTTTACTACACAATTGTGCACATGAAACAGTGAGGCACAGTTGTTGGACAGCACAAAGTGCAATCTGACATTCCTGTGAGGGACTGTTGGTGCAGTGCACAACACCACACAGCTGTGCTTCTTTGAGCTGTTTAGCAACTGACCCAAAGAGTGACTTCAGCATAGGAAGGGTTCACATTCATTATCTTAGTCCAAGTATGGTCTATGACAAAACCCGGCATTCTTAGAAGGGATTCCTTTCCGGTGAGCTTCAAAATGTGATGTTTGTGAATGAATCCGCATCCCAAATCTACAATGCAACACTGTGTGAGAGATGATTCCAATTGTATGCATGGAAACTGATTCACATTTTGCTGGTAGTGGTACACTTCTCCCTTAGGGTTGTGCATAAAATGCATGAGTTGCTTGTTTGTCATCCAAGCCCATAATGTACTGTAACATGGACAAGGTTTCTTTTCTCCAGTTATTGAACAGCATGTGACAGTCTCATGGATGGCATTGCTGTTCCATTTTTTGTGAAGTCTTGCTTTGCAATGAACTGTACTTGTATTCACTTGTTTGGCTATCTTTGCCGACAGTTGACCCATGCATTTTGTTGCTATGTCATCATTGTTCTGGATCCTTGTGAAACAGAGGATCGGTTCTGGATACAGAGTCTCCATCATGTGTCTGCCTTTGTTTTTACAGTGGCATCAAGACACATACACGTAAGTTACATTTTTCCCATCAATTTTAAGACAAACATTCCTGACTGACTAACCAGAGATTACATGGCTTATTGACAGCACGGTATCAAAAACCCTGATCGTGCTGATTACAAAATAGTATAAACAGTGAATGATATATATCAGGGATACATGCACATGTATGCAGTTCCATGTAACATAGCATAAGCACAGGTGAAAAGGGGCAAATTTCATCTGTTTTGAACAAGAGGGTTATAATTCATCATTATTACTCTTTAAGTAAAGTAAAAACATGAGCAGTGCCTATCAGACTTTCATTTTTCAGGGCCACGTGTCATGGTCTAAAATATGACAGCTGAAAGACACTGCCGACTTCGACTTGTAGGTTTCTTGTTCTTATCCCTGTGAATGATTCATCCATCCGTCACACACACACTTTGACACAATGACAATCTTTTTTCCGAGCACACACAACATGCAATCTGTCGCTCACGTCTGAAAAGTTTCGGGGAGACTGTGGCCAAACGTGGGCACAGGTGCCACATTCTCGGGCCAAAAGGAGCCAGGCCTGGCATGCCTGGCCTCCAAACACCACTCACCCTTGTCGTTGGTGCTGCAAGGTTCGGTTTTAGGGGTATAATTCCCGAAATTGGGAACAAACGCTGGCGCATTCACGTTGGGAACGAAGGGCTTCGCATTAACGTTCAGTGCCGAGAACTGACTGCCAATGTCGACCGTATCTCCGTGATTTCCCGGTCCAGGATCTGCCTGTTCTTCCCAGCTGTCGAGAGCTGCACCTTCGCTCGGGTCAGGATCCATCCTGGCTTGCTCTTTTGTCGTTTAACCGACAATTTTTCGGAGATAATCTGGAATTATATTTGTCGTCTTAATAGGAAGGGAACACTGCTGACTGTACCGCGTGTGTGAGAATTCATAATGACGTCACCAAAACGACAGAGGGCGCTATTTGTATTGCGCAATCAAATGCCGGATTCGGCAAGATTAAGGAACATGAACCCTCCATCGCATTATTATCGTCCGTGTCATGACCCCCTGGCCCTCAACAAAACCTCCCTTATATGAATTAATGTTGTTGCTGTTGCTGCTTCTTTTTTCGCGTAATGCCATTCTGTTCCTCAGCTTCATGGAGAAAATTATCCTCGGACACACAGTTTCACACTGTCTTTCTTCATCTTCTGTTTTGACTTATAGCGTCACTGAAAAATACCCGTGGTCAATAAAAACTAAAAACAGAGAAAAACAAAATTTTGAAACGGGAAAACGAACCCTAGTTATGCACCAGTGCAATCATGGTGCCAGTTCGCTCAAGAATACATATGGTATTTATCTTCTTTGTCGATAATTCCATTTGTGGGGGTATGTTAATCTTGGGAAACGTTGAGACTGTGATTAAATTGGGAATGTCATTTATCAAACAACACATATCCCTTCAAATGGCAGAAAGATTCTTATAACACTGGTTTTCAATTTAAGCTGAAAAGTCTCACTGTACCTTTCAAAATGCAACAATTTAAAAAATCCATCTGTTTCGAAAGTGGCTCTATCTCCAATGGCTGGAGTTTATTATAATTATAGTCATTTGCTCTGCATTGAAAACGCAAGGTAGACGATTTTCGAGGGCTAGTAAAAATACACTGACGACAAAAAGGCATTAAAACAATAAAATGAAGTCAGGTCTGAACATTAAAAAGAAATTGTACTTTAAACTTTCCTTTTAAATATAAAATAAATTTCAGTAGCGTGGGCACTGAACCTCAAAGTTGCATTGTTCTTTGTACAAAACTGCTAGATTTGTTTTGTTTTGTTTATTTATTTATGGGAGGGCTGTCGTAAAGTTTTGTTTCTCTGGTGATAATATAAATTTTTTGTGATCCCACGGGATTTTTACAATAAGACAGGCCATAATCAGGAAGCATCATGGAAATATTTCTATAAATCCCGACTTAGGACTGAGTTTCCAGTTCGGTTCACAAAAAGCCCCAAATTGCGGGCCTATTTTGGAACGAGGCGGGCGGCTATATTATAAATGAGCGCTTAGTTTTACTGTTTTGGGGGGAATATGACATTGAAACAAAAGTGATCTTCTAGCCATAATCTTGAAATTTCATTGAAAAACGGAGGCCAAACTCTTCACGAGAGTCAACAGGCGGCGCTATTTCGGTCCGATTTTGCACTGTTTTCTATAGGCGCGTGTTGGAGTAGTACAACCTTACAGCCCTAACGACTGCTACTTGACAAAATGTATTAATTTCGGCTAAAAAGGATGTGGGTTGGTATGGTGTACACTGTAAGTTCTCCTGGCATTGTTTAATACAATCTGTCACGTTTCAGTAACTTTATGGATACTTTTTTATTACAGAAACTCTGGCAATACTTTTGGACTACTCGTGTCTTGACTGGAAATGCATTCCTATGCTGTCCGGTATGCCTTTTCACGACCATTGGGACACATCCACTCTGGCACGCATTATATTCAACTAAATGAAGGTCTTCGATGTGCGTCAGTATATGCTTGCGCAGTTGGACTACCAAACTGGCTAGTTCCCCTAGATCAAGCTCATCAAAATATAAAGCTATTTCCCTTTCATAATAGCTGAAGGTGGAAAGTTTGCGACGACAGTGTTTATACTCCTAGAATCAATGAATAAAAAAACAAAACGAAAACAAATTAGCCATTGCGCAGTTTCACCTCTTCATTTCCCCATCGACCATTTTCAGACTATTGCTGCGGGGATATAGGAGACATTTCTACGCGGGAGGTGGGCCAACAACTTGTGGAAAAAGGCAGATTTGCTGTGAATTAGTTAGAATTAGTTCATCGACTCCAGATCTGCACAAGTCTGCACAATTCGATAAAAAAAATCATGTAGTATTTCTGAAGATACCACAATTGAGAGATATGGACCATCTTCAGGCTTTTTGTGCCTGGAATTAGGGAGCAATCTCGGCTTAGGAATTTGGCCAGAATTACAAAAAGCACCTACCACCAGCGCAACAATTTCCGATTTCTTTGTCGATATCCCACTAACTACACCAAATATGGATATGAAACCCACACAATTCGATAGAGGATAATATTACGTCTCTGATGGTACTAGCACTGCCGAAATATGATCCACTTTGAGGCTTTTTAGGCCGATATTTAAGGAGCCATCTCTTCGCAGGAAGTTGGGCCAGCAAGGTGTGGACAAACGCAGAATTTTAACAGCAAACAACAGGGCATAAACTTCCAATTTCTTTTGCCGATATCTCACGAACTACAGCAAACATGGCTATGAAATTAAATTGTGAGATAAAGTAGCACATGAGCTTTCCGATGATACCAGAATTGCCATTTCTGGACCATTTTCTTACTATTTATCCGGGGAAACTGGGGGCTATATCTACGCAAAAGGTGGGCCAACAAGATGTGGACAATGGCAGATTTGCTGTGATATAGCTAGCATTTATGCGTAGACAAATGAGGAATCGGACAAAAATAGCAAGCAGTACGACAAAGACTCCTTCTTCCGAGGACCATTTCTGAACTAAATCAAATATTGATATGAAACTTACATCGATGGAAAGAGGAACACTCGCTCTTTCAGATGCCATCAGGATTGGCAGATTAGAACATTTTTCAGGTGTTTTATACTGCAACATAGAGAGCCATCAGTGCGCAGGAAGGAGCCTGTAATGGAAAGATGCAATGGAATAACACAAAATTAGCAAGTAGTTCAACAAGAACGTATGTCTTCTTCTGCCGATAATTTCCCAACTAAAACAAATATGGATATGAAACTTACACCAATGGATAAAGGTACACTCACCCTTTCAGATTCCACCAGGATTGCCAGATTTGGACAATTTTCAGGTATTTTATGCTGCAACATAGAGAGCCATCATTGCGCGGGAAGGGACAAGGGAATTGCACAAAATGAGCAAGCAGCAGGACATGAACTAAGGTCTTCTTCTCATGATAATTTCTGAACTAAAAGAAATATGGATGTAAAACTTACATCAATGGATAAAGGAATATTCGCTCTTTCAGATGCCACCAGGATTTCCAGATTGGGACAATTTGCAGGTCTTTTATGCTGCCAAACGGCGAGCCATCGTTGCGCTGGAAGGGGCCTGTAATGCGTAGAGACACGGGAGTTGCACAAAATTAGGAAGCGGTAGGAAAAGAAAAAAACTAAGGCCTTCTTCTGATTATAATTTCCCAACTAAAACAAATATGGATATGAAACTTACATCAATGGCCAGAGGAATATTCGAACTTTCAGATGCCACCAGGATTCCCAGACTTGGACAATTTCAGGTCTTTTATGCTGCAACATAGAGAGCCAACAATGTGCAGGAAAGGACCTGTAACGCGAAGAAAAATTGAAAATAACGCACAAAATTAGCAAGAAGTAGGACAAGAACTAAGGTATTCCTCTCATGATAATTTCTGAACAAAAAGAAATATTGATGTAAAACTTGCATCAATGGATAAAGGAACATTCGCCCTTTCAGATGCCACAAGGACTTTCAGATTAGGACAAGGTCTTTTATGCTGCCAAATGGAGAGCCATCATTGCGCGGGAAGAGACCTGCAATGCGTAGACACATGGCAATTGCACCAAATTAGCAAGCACTAGGACAGGAACTAAGGCCTTCTTCTGACGATAATTCCCAACCAAAAAAAAAAAAAAATACAGATACGAAACTTACATTAATGGATAGAAATACATTCGAACTTTCAAATGCGGGAAGGGACCCGAAATACGTAGAGACATGACAATTGCACAAAATAGGGAATTAGTAGGACAAGAACTAAGGCCAGGAAACCGAAATTCTATGATAAAATCTAACATACCAGTAATTGATTGCACATTTCAAATTTTCTGTGTACAAAATATAAGAAAAAGATTGCCGGCCACTATAGATGACATCTGTTGCATTATCCTGAACATTTTGGCGCAAAAATGAATGTCACTGTTGCTAACTGTGACAAGAAGTTGTACTGTATGATATACACTTCGAAACTACCCTGACATTCTTTGGCAAACGACGCCATGCTGAATCTGCAAGTTAAGGGTCTGGTGTTGTCATTGACTTCATCACCCGTCCTGTTTGGGGTTCAGGACTTAATACGTCCCCACGCAGATCATCAGGTGTCACGCCCCTTTTTAATCAAAGAAAAAGTAGAATCCAGGCAAAATTAATAACATTGGACATGTCAATAATGTCCGTTATGAAAAAAGCAATTGTTGATGATGTCATCATTAAACGAGCTCAATATTTGCCTAAACCACTTCCTCTCCAGGATAGAAGCAGGGTTTCTACCCAGCACTAACACCGACGGACTAATTCCGTTGAAAAAAACTTAATGGTTTTTACCACTTTCAAACAATAAGTCTACTTCCGATTTCGACCAAGAGGAAGGGTCACGTTATTTGACCCACATGAGACGAATTCAAGACATTTTATCCTGGCACTTGCTGCCAACAGAATATTGCAGGAGGCCGTGGTTGACTTTATATGGATTTTTATATATTTGTGGGAATATTTAAATATTCAAAAGTTAATAATAAATCAGGTGATGACGTCATCATGACGTAAATGTTTCAGAATTCCAACTTGCTCAGGGACTAAAGTGGGTGGTGGAAGAAACGTGTACAAAACAAAGGGGCTTTGAGTCAGAAGAAAGAACAAAAATTGACAAATTAGAGAGCAGTTCGACAACAACTAACGTCTTCTTCTGCCGATAATATCCCACATAGACAAATATGGATATGAAACTTACATTACTGATAAAGGAACATTCGTCCTTTCAGATGCCACCAGGATTACCTGATTTGGGCAATTAGCATGTCTTTTATGCTGTAACATAGATAGCAATCATTGCGCGGGAAGGGACACGGGAATTGCACAAAATTACCAAGAAGGTCGACAAGAACTAACGCCTTCTTCTGCCGATAATTTCCCAATTAAGATAAATATGGATATGAACCTTACATCAATCGATGAAAGAACAATCGCCCTTTTAGCTACCACCAGGATTGCTAGATTTGGACAATTTTCAGGTCTTTTATGCTTCAACATAGAGAGCCATCATTGTGCGGGAAGGGACACGGGAATGGCACAAAATTAGCAAGCAGCAGGACAACAACCAAAGCCTTCTTCTTACGATAATTTCCTGATTGAACCAAGTATGGATATGAAACTTACATAAATGAATAGGGGAACATTTGCTCTTTCAGTAACCACAAGGACTTCCAGATTTGGACAATTTTCAGGTCTTTTATGCTGCAACATAGAGAGCCATCATTGCGCAGGAAGGAATCTGTAATGGAAAGAGGCAATGGAATAGCACAAAATTAGCAAGTAGCTCGACAAAAACGTATGCCTTCTTCTGCATATAATTCTTAAGTAAACGAAGTATGGGTATGAAACTGACATCAATATATAGAGGACCAATCTACCTTTCAGATGCCACCAAGATTGCCTGATTTCATCAATTTTCAGGCCTTTTATGCTTCAACAAAGAGAGCCATCATTGCGCGGGAAGGGACACAGGAATTGCACAAAATTAGCAAGCAGCAGGAGAACAACCAAAGCGTCCTTACGATAATTTCCCAACTAAAGAAAATATGAATATGAAACTTATATAAATGAATAGGGAAACATTTGCCCTTTCAGTAGCCACACGGACTGCCACATTTGGACAATTTTCAGGTCTTTTATGCTTCAACATAGAGAGACATCATTGCTCAGGAAGTAACCTGTAATGGAAAGAGGCAATGGAATAGCACAAAATTAGCAAGCAGCAAGACAACAACCAAAGCCTTCTTCTTACGATAATTTTCCAACTAAAGGAATTATGTCTATGAAACTTACATAAATGAATAGGGGAATATTTACCCTTTTCTGTAGCCACAAATACTGCCAGATTTGGACAATTTTCAGGTCTTTTATGCTGCAACATAGAGAGCCATCATTTCGCAGAAAGGAACCTGGAATGGAAAGAGGCAATGGAATAGCACAAAATTAGCAAGTAGTTCGACAAGAACGTATGCCTTCTTCTGCAGATAATTTCCTAAGTAAAACAAATATGGATATGAAACTTACATCAATGTATAGAGGACAAATCACCCTTTCAGATGCCACCAAGATTGCCTGATTTGGACAAATTTCAGGCCTTTTAAACTTCAACATAGAGAGCCATCATTGCGCAGGAAGGAACAAAGGAATTGCACAAAATTAGCAACCAGCAGGACAACAACCGAAGCATTCTTCTTACGATAATTTCCCAACTAAATACAATATGGATATGAAACTTACATAAATGAATAAGGGAACATTCGCCCATTCAGTAACCACAAGGACTGCCAGATTTGGACAATTTTCAGGTCTTGTATGCTGCAACATAGAGAGCCATTATTGCACGGGAAAGGACACGGGAATTGCACAAAATTAGCAAGCAGCAGGACAACAACCAAAGCCTTCTTCTTACGATAATTTCCCAACTAAAGCATATATGGATATGAAACTTCCATCAATATATAGAGGCCCAATCACCCTTTCAGTAGCCACAAAGACTGCCAGATTTGGACAATTTTCAGGTCTTTTAAGCTGCAACATAGAGAGCCATCATTGCGCAGGAAGGAACCTGTAATAGAAAGAGGCAATGGAATAGCACAAAATTAGCAAGTAGTTTGACAAGAACGTATGCCTTCTTTTCCATATGATTTCCTAAGTAAAAGAAGTATGGATATGAAACTTACATCAATATATAGAGGACACATCTACCTTTCAGATGCCACCAGGATTGCCTGATTTGGACAATTTTCAGGTCTTTTATGCTTCAACAAAGAGAGCCAACATTGTGCATGAAAGGACACGGGAATTGCACAAAATTAGCAAGCAGCAGGACAACAACCAAAGCCTTCTTCTTACGATAATTTCCCAACTAAAAGAAGTTTTTATATGAAACTTACATAAATGAATTGGGGAACTTTCGCCCTGTAATTAGCCACAAGGACTGCCAGATTTGGACAATTTTCAGGTCTTTTATGCTGCAACATAGAGAGCCATCATTGCGCAGGAAGGAACCTGTAATGGAAAGAGGCAATGGAATAGCATAAAATTAGCAAGTAGTTCAACAAGAACGTATGCCTTCTTCTGCATATAATTTCCTAAGTAAAACAAATATGGATATGAAACTTATATCAATATATAGACGAACACTCGCCCTTTCAGATGCCACCAAGATTGCCTGATTTGGACAATTTTCAGGTCTTTTATGATGGAACATAGAGAGCCATCATTGCGCGGGAAGGGACACGGGAATTGCACAAAATAAGCAAGCAGCAGGACAACAACCAAAGCGTCCTTCTTACGATAATTTCCCAATTAAAGGAAGTATGTAAATGAAACTTACATAAATGAATAGGGGAACATTCACCTTTTCAGTAGCCACAAAGACTGCCAGATTTGGACAATTTTCAGGTCTTTTATGCTGCAACATAGACAGCCATCATTTAGCAGGAAGGAACCTGTAATGGAAAGAGGCAATGGAATAGCACAAAATTAGCAACTAGTTTGACAAGAACGTATACCTTCTTCTGCAGATAATTTCCTAAGTAAAACAAATATGGATATGAAACTTACATCGATGTATAGAAGACGAATTCCCCTTTCAGATGCCACCAAGATTGCCTGATTTGGAAAACATTTCAGGCCATTTATGCTTCAACATAAAGAGCCATCATTGCGCGGGAAGGGACAAAGGAATTGCCCAAAATTAGCAAGCAGCAGGACAACAACCAAATCCTTCTTCTTACGATAACTTCCCAATTGAAGGAAGTATGGATATGAAACTAACATCAATGAATAAGGGAACATTCGCCCATTCAGTAGCCACAAGGACTGCCAGATTTGGACAATTTTCAGGTCCTTTGTGCTGCAACAGAGCGAGCCATCATTTCGCAGGAAGGAACCTGTAATGGAAAGAGGCAATATAATAACACAAAATTAGAAAGTAGTTCGACAAGAACTTATGCCTTCTTCTGCATGTAATTTCCCAAGTAAAACCAATGTGGATATGAAACTTATATCAATATATAGAGGACCAATCGACCTTTCAGATGCCACCATGATTGCCTAATTTGGACAATTTTCAGGTTTTTTATGCTGCATCATAGAGAGCCATCATTGCGCGGGAAGGGACACGGGCATTGCGCAAAATTAGCAAGCAGCAGGACAACAACCAAAGCCTTCTTCTTACGATAATTTCCAAATTGAAGGAAGTACGGAGATGAAACTTACATAAATGAATAGGGGAACATTTGCCCTCTCAGTAGCCACAAAGACTGCCAGATTTGGACAATTTTCAGGTCTTTTATGTTGCAACAGAGAGAGCCATCATTGCCCAGGAAGGAAACTGTAATGGAAAGAGGCAATGGAATAACACAAAATTAGCAAGTAGTTCGACAAGAACATATGCTTTCTTCAGCATATAATTTCTTAAGTAAAACAAATATGGATATGAAACTTACATCAATATATAGAGGACCAATCACCCTTTCAGATGCCACCAAGATTGCCTGATTTGGACAATTTTCAGGTCTTTTATGCTTCAACACAGAGAGCCATCATCGCGTGGGAAGGGACAAAGGAATTGCACAAAATTAGCAAGCAGCAAGACAACAACCAAAGCCTTCTTCTCACGATAATTTCCCGACTGAACCAAGTATGGATATGAAACTTACATAAATCAATAGGGGAACATTCGCCCTTTCAGTAGCCACAACGACTGCATGATTT